CAGACAACAGCAAGCCCTGCTTGCTAACTTGACCTAGATCTGTCAACTGATCAATTTTTTTTCCCCCATAGGGAAAAAAATAAAATAGGGGGGAAGCACAATATGGATATTTTTAAGCAAAAGCTGCAAGAAAAAATATACGAAGCAGACACTTCCAATATTGAATGCACTCGTCTCGTGCACAAATCGGGTTTGGCACAAGAGGAAGACAGACAAAACATAAGCCAGGCTTACTATGATGGTCAAAATGCCTACGTGCCTAAAGAAAAAGTAGCTTTTACTACACACCAGAACATCCCAAAACCAGCTGCAGCCTCCAGAGCACCCAGAACCACCAAGACTTGTAAGCAGGGCTAAACAACTGAGCTGGTTGGGATGCTCCCTCCAATGCTTCAGAAATCTAGTTGTACGAGAGGTTTTTTTCCTCCAAGCTCAGCACTACCACTTGGTTTTCTCTGCTTGTCAAACTCCTATTCATCTCCCCTGGGCTGGTCAATGAGTCCCAGGCCAAACGTGGGGAGAGCTGACCAGTCCCCACACCCCCTCTCGGCCATGCAGCCCAGCTCGTTGCCTCCTCACGTATCCCACTGTAGACAACCACAGTCACCTTCTTCACGCCTGCATTTTCAAAACAGCGAGCAAGTGCACGTCCTGAAACGTGGGACGGCGTCTGCGGGACCTCACACATCTCTATGCCACAACTAGAGCTCCTAAAGCTATTGTAACTGCAGCATGAACCAGCTCCAGCACATGTTCCCCATCACACCGCGCCATCAGGTGTCTCATTACCAATAACGACTCTCTTGATAGAGATCTCTCCATATACACAGCCTAGTGCTACCACAAGTTTACTCCTTGCTGTATATTCTGCCAGCCCACCACCACGTGCCCTGATCAACCGAGGGATGCTCCCAGGGAAGCCGCGATACCCCACGCGTGAAAAACCCCACGTAAAACGCTGCACAGAGCGCCCACGGCAAAGCCACCAACCAAACCGAGATCCCGAGAGCCAACCCAGCATTTTTAGGTGCCACCCCACGTTTTTGAGCAATGCAGCCTGCTTTCAGAAGCATCTTCCCAACGGCAAAGGTCTGCTTGGGTTCCTGTTTACTCCGCTGAGTCTCAAAAATGTGCCAATTAATCCCGTGTGGTGGCCTGATTTCCAAAGGTGCTGGATACCTGCTTGCAGCTTCGGTTAAAATCAACAAGAATGACAGACGTTCAGCAACTCTCCAAATCAGGCCATTGAGTAACCAGAGCGCATTCCCCTCCTTTTATGTACTACACATAACTGGGTTATCTAATCATGTAGGTATTGATTATTACTGTTATTACCTATTAAATAGCTATTTTCTGCTGTTGGGGTGAATATCACATTTTATTGACCTGCACGGTAACTATTATCCACCATGAAGTCACATCCAATATTTTCCCCGGGGAACAATAAATCCGGGTATTCACAGAAAGATGTCGATACACATAATTTTTCTTATACACATTCATTAGCGCAATTACCTTCTTGCACAAACTGCCAGAAGGTTTCCCCTCCCGCCTCCGCCAAGAAAAAGCCCTCCCGGGATGCACAGCCCCGGCCCACGCCGCGTTCCCAAATCCTGCCCCTCCCGAGGGGGAGCAGCCGCCCGCTCCTCCCCGTAGATGCGTCTCGGGGCCAGATCCAGCCTCCCCATCGCACCCCAGCGCTGCCCGCGTTTCCGTTTGGGAGTTGTCTGCAACCCAGCCGCGCCAACGGAGCGAATAATTTTCAGATGAGAAACGCTCCTTGTAGGATGTTGACATATGCTATTATTTTACATACCTATTTCAGCTTGTATGCTTATTAGAATAAGGTCTTTATGCTAATTTGTAAATCAAATTCCCATAATTCTTGGCTTACTGATGCTAAAGGCCCAGCTAAATCTTCTATGACCTTTTAGCCTGGTTAATCCTTTTATGCATGGCTGAGTGAAGAGTTTTCTTCTCTCTTCCACTCCCAAGTGCTGGGGTGGGATTTTTTTCCTCAAGCCCTCCTCTTCCTCAAGAAATCCAGGTGAGTGTGAGTCAGGGACACCGGGCACAGGTGAGACCACCTCTCCTTTGAAACACAGAAAGAGGGAAGAGAAAATGTTGCTACCGAGTCCTTCAATACGCTCAAGATACTCAACGGCGCTATTTAAAAATCACCCAGGAAAAAAAAAAAAAAATACAGCAAACACAATGAGAGCTGTGTTGCCAAACAGCCACTCGTTTCCCAACACCCGGGGCTATCCCAGCCCTTTGTAGTCTCCTTCCTCCCAGCTCGTCCCCGAAGCCAGGGCTGGACCTTTGGCCACCTCCATGTCATTCCAGTGGAGATGCAGCACCCAAGCAAGCGCCCCGTTGGGCTGGCACCATCACCCAGAGGCAACAGCTCCACTGGGAACGGCAACACCACCATGGACAAAACCACACTGGACATTCCGGGGCTCGGACAAGCTCTTTCCTAACAGGCACGACACTCAACCACCCCCCTCCCCGTTCTGGGGGCACGGTTCCAAATAACCAACAGTGAATCTGCAAAACTTGGAGGACCTGAGGCTGTTTGCATAAATGCAGATGGTCAAGCACTTGCAAATTATCCCACTTCATGCTCTATTTTACTCTCAAGCATACTCACAAACCACTTTTCTTATTGTTTGTTTGGCTGTAAATAGGTAAATGACCTGGAGTATTGATAAACTGCTGCAGAGGGCAGCACAGATCTCTTGAGCTATTTGTAGTAGATTTGTCTAAAACACAGTTTTCTTGCATGACAATAATTTTCCCATTTTCAAACACAAGCCAGATCCACTTTTGTGTAACAAGCAAAAGAGAGAAAAGTTAGAAATTCCCCAAACCAAAAAAACACGCTATGAATATCAGACGAGTTCATGAAGCAGCAGCATCATACTGTTAATATTTGGCGATGCACACATACCTGTATATTTATTACCTGTAGGGCTGAATAACCCCCAGTTTCTCAAAACTCCCTTCAGAAGATTGTTAAAAAGCAAAATTATTTTTGCTGAGTGTTTTTTTACTTTTTTTTTTTTTTTTTAATGACTCTCAAACACAATTATACAAGAAAACCCCCTGACGGACTCCTTCCCTCTGACAAACCAGCATAGCCAACATCTCCCAGCCTAAAAAAGGCCCAAACTTTTTGCTGCTGAAGGCTCGGGGGAGGCAGTGCATTCCTCCCCACCACTCCGCTGCCAAGGATGATTACAAGAAGAGAAAAAAAAAAAAAAAAAAAAAAAATATAAAGGAAAAAAACCCAACAAGTTTCTGATCTGTAAGCTTTGATGGGAGCGAAGAGAGGAAGCATGAGGGATGACCAGAGGCAGGGAATAAGACTGCAAAGGAATCCAAGTCAGGAACCAAAAGCAAGCATTCCAAAAAAAAAAAAAAATAAATAAATGGAGCACAAATTCTGGGCAGGAGAAATAAAGAGGGGAAGGGCAGCTTCGCTTCCCCCTCCTGGGCTCCCCACAGAGGCAGCAGCCGAGGGGGGCCGGGGCTCCCATCCCCAGAAAATCCCTTCGGGAGCGGGGATGCAGGGATGCCAGCATCCCGAGCAGCGGGAGCGGGGAGCAGCAAGCCTGGGAGAAGGGAAGAGCTTGAGGAGGGAGAGAGGGAAGAAGGCGAAGAGGAGAAATGCCTTGGCGTGTGATGTGCATGCTAAGCAGCCCGCGCCGGTCGATATGGCAGGGGTGGCTCTCGGCAAGAGCGGGCCCAGCCTGCCCAGGAGAGAGAAGTTTGAGTGGAGATGGTGGCTGGCCGTGTCCCCCCAGCTCTGCCCGAGCACGGCAGCCCCCCTGCCCCACACAGGTAGGGGCTTCCCACACACCCCACACCCCCCCCCCCCCCCCGAGTCCTGCTGCAGAGCATCTCGGCTGAAAGGGGACACCAGGCAGGGCTGGATTGGGGCACGCGGGTACCCAAACCCCATCCCCAACCCTCGGTGGGCACCGGGGCAGCGCAGAGGTGCTCTCCCCCCACGCAGCAGGGTTCCTCCATCCACACCTCCCCCCCCCCCCAAAGGGTGCCTCCATCCCCCCAAACCACCCGCGATGGGGTTTGGCGCACCCCACGCACAGTGCGTTGCAGCCCGCCCCCCCCCCCCCCCCCCGGGGCGCAGCTCCCCTTTCCCAGCCCCACGGGCAGGATGCGGCTCCCCCCGTCTGTTATCGTCCCCCCCCACCCACCGGAGATAACCCCACTCCCACAGCCCCTCCAGATGGCTGCGAGGAGACTAACGCAAGCTGACAGCCTCGGCGCTCCCGGGCAGATGGGGCTAGCTCCTGCCTCCTCCTTTTCCCCCCTTTTTTTCCCCCTCGCTTTTTGCTCTTTTTCTCACAGCACCCTCCCGGCGAAGCATCATCCCCCGGGAGTGGGGGGATGAGATGGGGGCGGGGAACAGCCATGCCCACCCAGGACAGGCTGGACAAAGACTTTCCAACTCGGGGGGGGGACACACGACACAGGCAGGAGCTGGGGCTACACCGAGTTTTTGGGACGACCTTGCAGACGGGTCCGGCAAATCAAAGGAGGGAGGACAACGCACAGGTACCCCAAATCATTTCCTCCCCCCCCCCCCCGCCTGTTGGATGCATTGCTTCTGCAGGAACTAAGTTGAGATGGCAGAGTGGTTCAGCACTGCCCCCCAACCAAAAAAAAAAAAAAAAAAAAAAAAAAAATAATCAGCACAGGGGGTGCTGCGCCATGGGAGAAGTTCCCCCACATCCCGGTGCACCGAGGAAGGGGGGGGGCAGCACAAAGGGGGGGCTGCCGCCGTGCCGTACCCGCATCCTCACCCCCGCCCGCAACTCAACAGCGGGCTGGGGACCCTCTCCCAGCTCTGCCCCCGCTCCGAGGGCTCCTCATTGCCCACCCCCCACCCGAGGGGTGCTGCCGGGGGGCCGCGCACCCCCCCCCCCGCCCGCCTCGGCTGCATCCCCCGCAGCATCCCCGCCCGGCCCTACCTTGGGAGAGGAGGAGAGCGGCCATCCCGGCGAAGATCACCCAAGAGACGGGGTGGTGCATTTTCGCCTGGGCCATGTTTCACCGCGGGCTGCGTTTCTCTCCTCTCCTTCCCCACTCACTGCCTGGCGGGGAGAGGTTTAAAATCCAGCGTTTCCCAGAGCAAAGCGCAGGAAGGAAGAAGGGAGGGGGGGGGGGGGTAGAGGGGAAGGGAGGGGAAGGGGGAGAAGGAAAAAAAAAAAAAAAAAAAAAAAGGCACCGCAGGGTAGGGGAGGGAAAAAAAATAAAAAAAAAAAAAGGGGGGGGGAAAAGGGGGGGGTCGGAAGGGGTTGCAAGGTGCGAGGACAGGCGCTGCCGTGCCCGCCGCTCCGGCCCGCACACGCCGCCCGGCTGCACCACGCCGCCGGCCGCGCACGCAGCCCTCCCCCGCGCCGCGCTCATTGGCTGCGGGGGACCCCCCCCCCCGGCACCCGCACCCCCCCTTCGGCACCCGCACCCCACCCCCAGACCCCCCCCGGCACCCGCACCCCACCCCCAGACCCCCCCCCCCGGCACCCGCACCCCCCCTTCGGCACCTGCACCCCACCCCCGGACCCCCCCCCGGCACCCGCACCCCACCCCCGGACCCCCCCCTCCAGCACCCCCCCTTGGCACCCGCACCCCCCTTTGGCACCCGCACCCCCCCCCCCCCGGCACCCACACCCCACCCCCGGACCCCCCTCTGGCACCCATATCCCACCCACCCCCCCCCCCCCCCCGGCACGCACCCTCACCCCCCCACGCACCACAAAAAGGGGTGCCCCCCCCCCCCTCCCCCGGGGCAGCCGCACCCATTCCGTGCCTCAGTTTCGCCACCTGAATGAAGACACCAGCGAGACCCCAGGGTACCCCCCACATCAGTGAGCCCCTGCGCTGCCCTCCCCTAAGGCTAATCCTCTATGGAAATTGCCCTAAAAGCAAATTTAATAGGGAATAACTCTTCCATTTGTAGCAGAAGTCTACTTTCATTCCAACTCAAGGCTTTTGTTTCGCCCCCCCCCCCCCCGTGCTATAACCACACTCAGCCAATTCCTCACACCAAGACCATCTCCTGCTTTGAGCAACACCTGGGCCACCTACACCCTGCTCGGGTTTGAAGACCCTCCCGTTACCTAAACTCCTTGCCCCCCGCCAATTTTTGGTGCCTATTTGGCAACAACAGAAATGAGACAGACCTTTCTCCGACTCGAGATACCCAAACACCACCACATCTGTCCGTACCACAACCCAACACCGAGAGCATGACACCAACACGCCTACACCAAGAAGGTCCTCAAGACCAAAAAGTTCATTTCTTTTTTTCTCCAGCCTTTGTGCAACAGGGAGAATATTAGAGGCACTGAACCCCGAGACTCTTATTTGACACAACCTAAATAAATAATATCTTGTTAAATATTCATTATTTTCAGTGGTGGTAAGGATGTCTCATTTTGTTGCTCGAGGTGACTCACATCCCCTTAAAACAACATTATAGGCAGAAAAATGACAAAGGAAAAAAAAGATATCTTGGCTTTTTGTATTTATTCCTCCTCAGAGGCTTCCAAAATCTGAGCTGTTCACTTTGCAATTCAGAAGAAGATTTGGCTGCAAACTCTTGGAAAAATCCAGCTGTGCTTTTCTCTCTCCCATCCAGAGGGACTCTCCGAATCAGACCCGGGCCAGCCATTCTGCTGTCCCCAACCAGGGGGATGCACTTCCCCCATCCTTGGGTTTTCCCCAAGCCCTCCGTTTTGCCATCATCCATCGGTTTTCAGGGGGGTCTTGCCAAAAGAGTAGCTGGCGTAAAGCAGCAACCTGACTTAGAGCTCTGAGCTCTCCTTCCTTTTCCTCTACCAAGCCTTGGTTCAAACCACAGACCTCGAGGAGGTCTGATGGATCCAGAGCTCTCCACCACCATTTTACGGTACCCCCAGGAGCAGCCTACACCTGCCCGCACCACCTCCCAGCTCATCAGGATGGGAAGAGTTAATGGCAACGGTACCACCAACGACCCAGCCCTGGGCTGCATACACATGGCTCGGCAAAATATTTCTCAGGAAGCAGATAAAGGCTCTGGGATATTTAATACCCGGCCCTACCCGCCTCGCGACGTGAGGGCTTAAGCTGTTTCTCCAGCTCAGAGCAAAGCACAAACCTGGCACTGGCCCAGTGACCTCCAGCTGAAAGATTTCGGCCCCTTGGTAAGGATTCCTACCGCCGTCACATCATCTCATCCTCTCCACTCCTTCCCCACTACTCCCTCAACACGAGTTACCTACTATAATGCAAGATGCCATGCAGCAATTTTTACCGCCTTTCACGACGCTTCTGAATTTGACCCCGGCTGCCGAGCCAGCGACCGTATTCACAGCAGCTGGAGGCGGTTGATTAGGTTAGTTTGGTTTATTACCTACCCATTACGCTTTAAAAAACACAACTTCCCTGTCTATTTGCCTAAGCAGAGGAGAGCAGTTTATAAGGAGGCCCTATGCAGTAGCTGCTCTTCCTACAGATTTGCTCTATGCATTATTAATTCACACAGCGCTTGTTCCGAGCACGTATATTTACCCGATGCACCAGAACAGCTCTTAAGGAGCCTTCGGCTTGTGGCTTTGTGGAACATCAACTTTTCATGTTGAACAGCAGGTGATGTTCAACAGAATGCCTTGCAATAAATGCCTAATATCCATTACGCTCATACATATCTACGTGCCGGGCTGATACGAACATACAGATAGCAGGGCTGCACTCCCGAGATAGGGGGAAGAAGTTATTCATTGGAAATCACAGATATATATATGGTGTTAAACCGGGATACCAAACCTCCATGCATATCGAGCTGTGGCAGGCCGCTTTTGGTAGAAATTCCTGCCAAATTTTAGATGAGATTCCCTCCCACCCCCTCTCAAATCTGAATAAAAGACCAAAGTATGCCACCTTAGCTAAAAGTCTGCAGTGGGGGGGGGGGGGGAAGAAGGTGACAAGCCGCTTTGAAACAAAACCTCTAACCGGCTCTAAAAAGAGCGTTGTGACCTTGCTGAACAGCACTGCATAATTTTTAATAGACATTTTTTTGCTGGAACTGACATACTCCCAGGCGTGGTTTTATTCCGCTAACATTTTTCCAGAGGGAAATGCCATGTTTCATTGGCTTTTTTTCATCATCCCTACGTATACATACCTATAATTACTATATGCATTACAATAGCATTCACAAGCCTTTGATAAGATCCTGGTTCCATTATGTTAGTCTCCATATGTACACCCGGTAAAAAACAGTCCCTCCCTTGAGCTCTTAAAATCAAAATAGAGAAAGCAGAAAAAGGTGTTGAGACAAGAGCAAATTACTTCTCATTTTATGGCTAGAAAAATAAGACTTGGAAAGGCTAAGTCACCACACGAGGTCAGGAAAGGAATTTCCAGCCATGTCAAGAACCGAACAAAACCCTCCCAAATCTTAAGTAAGGGTTGGAGGACTTGCCTGCTTCCTCTTGCAGTGTCTCCCCACCCTAGCTTACTTCTGTTCCTATTCTCACCAGTGCAAAGGGAGAGTTAAGGGAACGCTTCTCCCAGCTGTCTCAAAATATCAGAGAGGAGTTATGTGCAAAATACCCATTTTTTTTTTTTTAAATGAGGGATAGTGACTGGGGGGGGGCGGGATTTGTAAAGCTGAACTCAAAGCATGCCCCAGCCCACTGCACACAAAGACATTTCGGCACTCCCGTGCCCTTGGGTGCACGGGACACACGGAGCCAGACAGACGAGTGCCCACAGGCAGCCGCCGTGCGTGTGGATGCCCGGCTTTGCTCCTTTAATTACACCTCCTACGGGTGAGAAAGATAAGCCCAAATGGAGTGACTGCACGAAGGGAGGAAGCCTATAAGTTATTCATAAGTTCAGGCTCAAGCTCCTCTCTTGCTTTCACTCCATGACACCTTCAAAACATATTATTCATCTATTTTTTCCTCCTCTGGGAAGAGAGATGGTAATTGTAGTAAATATATCACTGCCAAGTCATCCTCACAGCCTCCGAGCCTGCGTGGCACTAGGGGTAGGGATCCGAGGCAGTGGCTGCTCTCGAGACATTTTTGGGATGCCCAGGCTCCGTGAAGGACATCCTCACGCTGCCGGCGATCAAACCCAGCCCCTCGCAGAGACATTTACCACTCCCAACACTTTCAGGTGAATTACAAAAAAAAACCCAAATAAATAAAAATCAAACCCTACCACTCCCATCACCTCCACCCCATTTCAGATCAAAGTCCCCCAGTCCCCACTGAGCATTTGGAAACAGCTCCATAGAAAGTGGAGCAGAAGATTTTCCTACATCCCCACCGAGCCCGGCAGAGCTCAGGCTGGGGCAGCCGATTCCCTCGGGTTGCTGCACCCCGTTTTCATCCCAGCCTGATGGCATTCGGGCAAATTTGGGGCTCCATTTCTAGCTTGCAGGGGAAAAAAAATGCCCACGATCGCCAGCAGCCCTGCCTGCAGAGAGCCTTTGGAAACAAGAGCCACAGCACAGAGGTTTTGTTTGCCCTCTCAAGGCTGTTCCAGACAGAATAAAGCACCTAATGCTACTGCCAACTGAAGCAGCGCTCCTTGAGCTCGAGAGGTCAGTTTTTCTGAATGCAGCGACACGGATCTTCATCTCGGCCCCATAGCACAGAGGATTTGTTGTACTCTTGTACTCCAGTGCAAAAATAACCCTGAAAGCAACATCTATGGTCATACCAGGGAGGGGAGGGCTAAGGCATCGGCATCAGGCGCCTGGGAGGAGAGAGACGGGGGCATAGATTTTATTTGTCCTCGATTCCCAGGGAGGTCATTTACTGCAGTGCCCCTGGCACTTCCCCAGCCCTTTCTAGCACATTTGATTCTTGTGAGTTTTCTTAATCTCATCTCCTTCATTGGTTATTGCTCCTTCAGTGCTGAACTCAGCAAGATCGCTTCTGTTTAGAGAAAGATTAGCGCTGAGTACATTAAACAAGGTAATGCCATGTACTAAAGGGCACTGGGTCACCACCCCAGCTCTAAATGCCCCGTAATACCTTCCCAAAACGTGTGCCTTTCCCTGGGCCCGCTTTTAGCTCACACCTGCAATGCCTAATGCACGCCAGCAAGCTCTCCCAAGCAGCAGCCCCACAGAGCACATTGCAAGGAACCCTTTGGAGAGAAAAACCCCAGCAGCTCCAGT